AACAAAACTAAACAATAATAAAATATTCACTCACAAAATAAATTAATCAATAATATCTAAACTAAACAGACTTTTATATCATGACTGACAGATGCAGTAAACAGAATAACAAAGTACAATCAAAATTCTGATCAACAAAACAAAATCTTTGTTATCTTGTTTACTGTGTCTGTTATGTTAGTCTGATGTACTACACTATCAACAACTGCTAGATTATAATAAATACATCATAACAGTTGTTAGTCTGATGTACTACACTATCAACAACTGCTAGATTATAATAAATACACCATAACAGTTGTTAGTCTGATGTACTAGACACAACCAACAACTGCTAGATTATAATAAACATACAATAACAGTTGTTAGTCTGATGTACTACACTACCAACAACTGCTAGACTATAATAAACACACCATAACAGTCGTTAGTCTGATGTACTACACTATCAACAACTGCTAGATTATAATAAACACACCATAATAGTCGTTAGTCTGATGTACTACACTATCAACAACTGCTAGACTATAATAAACACACCATAATAGGCGTTAGTCTGATGTACTAGACACAACCAACAACTGCTAGATTATAATAAACATACAATAACAGTTGTTACATGATTAGTTAGATGATTTTAGTATAATATTATTATATTTTGGTAACAGGATTGTTCAAGGGACTTCACATTCTAGGGATGTGGCAGTGTTGTAAGTTATGTTTAGAATACTTTAAGTTAGATGTTTTGTTTGCTACAGGGAGTTTTTGCATGACATAATTACGTGTGTGACCTCTAGAAGTTTCCTGAATATCTAGGTTTGACATGATATCTCAATTCTTTGGCTGATGTGGGGAAAACAAGTATTTTATAAAAACAAAGAATGATTGACTGAGTTTAATGGGAGTCAGCCAGTTAGACAGTGACTTAGTAAGTGAGTGGCTAATCAGTTAGTTAATGTGTTATTGACCTATTACTGAGTTAGCAAGTGTGTAAGTCAGCCAGACTTAAGTTGTATCATGGGTATGAGAAGCAATTTTATAAGTAACAAGTTGTTTTATTTTGAGTTAGGCCTATTAATGAACATAGCCTATAAAGCTTGTGCAATACAGTTGAAGAAAATAAATTGCTTTCATTATTGTTAAGTGGACTGGACTTTGCATTATTTTTAATAAATAATAAAAAAAAACTCACCCAACAACAAAAACTGTCACCACAATGCTGCCATTAATAGGTAAAACATCCTTGCATGCTAAAAACTCAGCTTACTTTGTAGAGATTAAAAAGGCAACCATGACACAACAACCAGCTTTGAACTAACATATCAATCCTAAAACATTACAAATGCTCCAAAATTTGACAATGATAGAACTCTTAAAGAATGCACCTGAATAAAAATCTCTACAATAAGAGAACTTGCAATCTTCTAGGCCAACAAAACTTGCTTCCATTTAAGAAAAATACTACCAAATAAGTATGGCTAGCTATGGGCTCACCCCAAGCACCAATAATCAGTAACCTCTTGAAGTCAACACACTCAAAACAATGACTCAACACCTCAAGACTTGACTCAAATATGTTGATGATACGTTCATAATATCGACACACAAAGACAAAATTCAAGAATTCATGAACCACTTGAACAGGCAGCATACCATTATACAATTCAGAAGAGAAATAGAAAAAGATAAACTCCCATTCCATGATATGATGGTTGTTAAAACACATAACTAATATACCACAGGAGTTTTCAAGTCCAGAAATACGTATAAATACCTTGACTGTAAATCAAACCACACTGACAGTGTAAAGACAGGCATCACGGACCATTTAGTTTCAAAAATGAACAAGATTTATAATATCTAAGAAGCTGAGAAGACTTTAAAAAAAAAACTATCACTAAACCCTCCTTAGCAATTTATACACAGAACACTTGATAAAGAAAAAAAGAAAGAAGATACACAAGAAGAAATTGCAGACAAATAGCCATATTTCCCTGTTAGAGGTTTCTCTGAAAATAGAGAATATGTAAACAACATAAATCCAAACCACCTAAATAGCCAATGGAAAAGAAAAACACAATTTACAGCATTTTCTGTGAATGTGAAGAAAGTCTGCAAAACCAGGATACCCCTCTTGAAAAAATTCAAATGTTTAGTTGATTTAAGCTTTAACAGCAGGAAACCCCTGCTGAGCAGATAATGAATCAGATTTCCATCATAAAGACCCAGAATCAAATCACAGCCCTCAGAATTTTCCTGAAGATGGTAATAGACTAGCCACTGAAACACGGGATAAAAACTAGCTAGTAATTTGCACCTACTGAATAAGAAAAATTTAAAAGTTACTTATTAATAACTGGTCTTAGGTGATCATATAGGCTATTAACATGATAATGAAAATAAAAATATGTTTACACTTCAATGTAGCTTGTTCTTTGTGACCCACAATTTGAAAAACTGTAATCAAGTAGAGCAAACCAAATACAATAAAATAATTTATTTCACATGTTTATAGAATATGCATATCTGAATTTTATGTCTTTTCTTACCAAATTTCTCCAACATCTCCATGATCATTGAAATTTTGAAGTTCTTGCTCATAAGCATCTTGCCAGCTGTAAGTTTCATAAAGATATGTCTCAATATGCTGGAATATGTTTCATAAAATACCAGTATATTGCAATTTGTTTCATAAAAACTTCTATAATCCCAAATAGCCTCAAAATTCAAGCTGATAAAAATCTCAAGTTATACAATACTAAAATATATGTTTTACCACTATTTTAAATAATTTTCACTTGTAAGAAACAGAAAACCTCAAATGAGCATACAGTAAGATTTAATAACTTTTTTATTGAATAACCTAGATTTTACATACAATACTAAATAACATTACAGTAATTTAGCCCTCTGTTTTTTAACATACCTTTTACTGAGAAAGCTTCCTACCTATTACATTTTCGGCCGTACATTATATGCCAAAGGTATTAAGTCTTATCTTTACCCAAGTCACTCCAAATCTTTAGTTATAAGGATCTTAAACTTAATAGCGAGGTAAAATAAAGTATCTATATTATAACTTCAATCCATTAATAAAAAAAACCTATTTTAACATTAAAGTTCATATGTAAAGATAATTATTTTCCAGAAAGCTCATTAGAACATAAGTGAAAACAACTATATACTCAATAAACAATAGTACCTGTTAAGTATCACTCAAACTCTAAACATAAATTATTAGATTCAGTATATAATTAACAAAGTTATAAACATGATAAAAGGTATCTAGATAAATTTCATGTAAAAGAGATGTCATTGATTTCTTCCTTCACATCAATAAACCTGACAGTTATTGATTCAGAACTTCAGCTCCCCTCTTGTCCATTTAGATTGTCTAGCACACTCATTGGGTCGTAGTTCTAGCTTTTAAACTTATGCACACAAACTTGCAAAGTCAAGTTTGCAACCCTCACATAAAGACTAAAGCTCATAGTAACACAAAATTCTAGCTCTTGACATATCTTTATAACTATTTCTCACTTATCAGACTTAGTACAGAACACTAAATACATCATACAATATGAAGTGTTCTGTTCAACTGACAAACAAATGCTTTAGTATTCAAAACAATCTGTTATAACTCTATGTGAAAAATGTTAAATAATAAACTATTTATTTATAAACAAAATAACAAGAAAATCTAATCTTGTTTGTGTTGTTTGTAGAACTTAAGAAATAAATAGGTTACAAGCAACAAAAGTGTTAATATGGTCCATTACATTTATCTAGACTCTGTTAATATATTTTCATTTATTAAATTGAATTATGCTACACAATCATTTTTATTAAACATGGTAAGAAATTTTCTAAACACTAAAACATATTGATATAAATTGATTCAGAATAGTTCACACAGTAAGATGAATTAATAGTTAAGTTCTGAATTTATAAAAGCCAATTCAGAGGTGAATTTTGAGCTAGATCTGCTGTATGAAATACTCTAATGAAGCTATGTTGTACTTTTTACCTCACAGTTAAACCAGTTGTTTGAAATTTACTGTTCCATAATTCTTTTGATTTTGTATGAGAACATGTAGGATGCCCTCTAAAGGTATGATCACCAGATTATGTGTATGGTAATGACATTCAATATTTTATATATCTATTACACTTTTAAGTAGAGAATGTTTATATATCACCAATTTTGAAAACACAGAAAAAAACGTATCACACAACTCACAATCATAATGCTATGAATTATTTCCTCTGGTGGGCTATGTTACAATTACTACAAGTTTCACATTGTATACTAATTCCCATTCAATTAGCGTTATGTTAATAACTTCACATAAGTAACTTTCCAGCTGTTTGAAGAGTAAATAACAAAATTCAAACAATTCACTTGAAATGGGTACACTGTCATTTTACCAACACGTATTGTTATTTGATTAGTACTAATACTATTAGTAACAGTACCAAGTTAATTTTTATTAATACTAATAGTATTAATAGTGGAGGTCCTGGTGTTTCAGAAGCTTGATTTGCAATCTGAGGGTTGTGAGTTCGAAACCCCACCACAGAACATGCTCGTCCTATGTGGTTGCTGACATGGCCAAACCCGAGTGTAAAAATTCTTGGTTTACAAAAAATTACCGGCCAATCCCAAACTATTGAAATTACATTCGTAATGAGGAAATAATAATAACAATAGTATTAGTAATGCAATTAACAAATTCATTTTCAATTTCAAGAACTGTCGTATTTTCAGTCAGTGCAACCAATATCAATATGTATTAATAATAATAGTTATTCACTTACTGCTTTTCTGTGTTAAATCCTGGGCCTGTACAAGTATTACTACTACTGAGTACTACTTGAGTCTTAAGTACTTTACTATTAATATTATACAAATAGTAATTATTATTATTACTATCGCCTTGGCAATAGTTACAGAACTTAGAAAACAAAACAACAAATTGAAATTGCCTTACTATTCCTTCGTTCCTAATGTTGATGGATTCAACTCTTCAGGGTTATTAAGAGGATTTTCTGACATAACTGTATTTGTCTAATTTTATAACCACGTTCCTTAAGGAGCTGCCATGTTTAGCAGAAGACAAGATACATTTTTTGAGTGTGTGTGTGGTTCACTAGAAGGAAATACAAATTTCTTTTAAAACTAAATTCAAAACATCAATACTCTAATAACATGTTGTAATCTTGGTTTATAACTTAGCGAAATGCTGGTAATAACGTATGAAAAATAATTAACTTGTTATCAAACAATAGTATTCACCTTTTTTACCAATGTATTCTATAGCTATACCCTAGGAGTTTCAAAAAAAATTACAAGAGTGAAAAATAATTTGTTTATTTGTTTGGAATTAAGCACAAAACTGTATACAATGTTATTTTGCTTTACTCACCACAGGTATCGAAACTCGTTTTCTAGCATTGTACGTCCGCAAACATACGGCTGTGCTACTGGGGGGGTGGGGGTGGGGGGGGGGGGTCTTGGTGAAAAATAATCCAACCATATTATGCTCACGCATCGATTACCGACGACATGTTTCACTCAAACTATAGCTTATCAGGCCTGCTAGAACAGTTTGTTTGTTATGGATTTCGCGCAAAGCTACACGAGGGCTATCTGCGGTAGCCGTCCATAAATTAGCAATGTAAGACTAGA